ATTTGAAATCTAATTACTAGAAACTGAACTACACTAATTCTACATTTAGACTGCTCACTATTGACTTGATGGACGGTCCATCAGCACCACCGGACCATCCGCCAATTCATCTGCATGACCTGACAGAGTTAAGTCCCTATCAGTCAGTACACCGACACCATCGGACAGTCCGCCGTCACGAAGGAGCGTCTGATAGAGTCAGCCCATGCAGAAATGTGAAGTGTCACTTTGAGAGATCACCTAGCCCCACCCAACAACACACCTGTCCAGCTCGTGAGATGGTTAAGGCAGAGTACCCACTAGCTCACTCACTCATTCTTGCACTTGCACTCTCTCTCTACACTCTCTCACACTCAAGCAAGAAGAGGAGAAGGAAAGGAAGAGAAAGGAGAAGGGATTGAAGCTTAGATGCAGCAAGAGATGGCAATGGAGATCACCTAGGAGCCCTCATCCACAAGAGGTAAGGGTTGGAAGAGGGAGGAGCCCTCTCACCCTTGCCATAAGGAGCTAGGAGGAAAAGGAAGCAAGAAGGAGAAGATTTCGAGTTGCCAAGGGGGAGATCCAGCTGCTCTATCATCTTGGAGAGCTTTGCATCTTCTCATTGTAGCCCTTGGTAAGGATCTAACCAAGCCAAACATAGGATTTCACTTTTAGGAGCCATAACCTAGGAAATGTCAATTTGTGGCCTAGGTTTAGTTTGCACCCAATGTAGCTAGAACCAACTAGCTAGATATGCTCCATAGAACCCTAGTAACCTACCCTAGTGATGGTTTACACATGCAAGCACCATAGATGAAGATTTGGATTTCAAGTTGCTAAGAAGTGTTCACTGTCAGTAATGACGGAGGGTCCAACATCACCGGTGGAGTGTCCATCAGTACTGAATAACTCTCTGTTCACTTGCACAAGACGCACTAAAATTCACCAGAGTCTCCGCCACTTCACCGGAGTGTTCGTAGAGTTATAAACCAGAGACAAAAGAGTCCCAGAGAGCCCAGTCCATAGCTTTTGGTATAGCGGAGCATCTGTCGATGTTCTAGAGTATCCGCTGAATTATAAAGCCTGAACCCAAGAATACCCAGTTCACATGGGATGATCCGCCACACATATAGAGTATCCGATAGAGCCTGAGCGCTTAGCAGCAAGCAGAATCCTACAGACCTGATCTGACTGATGGTTCGTCACCACAATGGAATGATCTGTTGAATTATAAACCGAACACTGAGAGATTCCCGAGAGCACTGACCTAATACCAGAGCGTCCGATCCTATATCGGAGAGTCCGATGATCTCAGAGTGCTAATTTCCCACTAAGTCCCAGAACCACCGGAGCATCCGACATCATCGCCGGACTATTCGATAGTCACCAGGCAGTAGACCTTTGGTGTGTACCTACACACTCACTCATGTAACACTAAAGCTTAACTAACTAAATATCATTGCATGACATCTCAAGGCAAGAGCATTGTACTTTATGCTATTCACTCATCACGCATCATGCATGTATAGGTGACGTGATTCCTTAAAACCCCATGCTTGAGGAGGAGCCTCAGGAGGAAGAAGTCGCTGAGCCTAGCAACGATGTCCAAGGCAGGCCCCTATGCATCCCTATGCTTTTAAATGCATAATGAACATTGGTTATTTATTGCATTGCTATGTTACCTTATGACTAGTGAACCAGGAGGGATTCACCTATTCCTAGCCGTATCCATATATCGCCACACCAAGCATCCACATGTGTCCTTATTAATCACCCTGCCTAGTATGCTTAGATCTTAGAGTCGAGCTAACGATGGGTTTCTCATAACTGGCGCGATGATAGGTTGTTCACCCACCAAGCAATACCTTTGGGAAGGGAAACACTTGTTCCACTTGGGTAGGGAATGGATAATGGTCGGCAAGGGGTATGGTCATGGTAAGAAGGGGGATTCTTGAATGACATAGCTTGCTTACCAACTAAGGACCGTCCATCCGAGGTAGTGAGTAAGAACATAAAATTGTATAGACCACTTGTCGCCAATGGGGGTGACAAGCCAAGTAACTGATTGTGACCGTTTTGTTCGTGAAACTGGCAAGAGGGTTGCGCTGGTTGAGAATGTCCGAGTCCGAGACATTGACCGGGATCAGTCAAACCTTTCGTTGAACATCTTGGCGGGCTAGGGAAAGGTTGAAACATCGAGGTATCCATTATGTACCGACGGGTCTTATGGGCGATATCCCTTGTTTCGAGTAGGGTTAACTTGTACCCCTCTGCATAGTTTACTTTTAAAAGCAATAAGTTCTAACTTCTAGATGGGGACTAGAGTTGGGTTTGGAAATCAGGACTGGTGGAAGATCAAGCTCCACTTGGCTAATCGTTTACATTTGATTACCTATGCTACGCTTTACTACTGCTACGTCGTAGATCGCCTTTACTTTCTAGTATAAATGTTTTTATGCAAATGTTCGCATTCCTTGCTACTAGCCCAATTGCATAATCCTTGTTTACTATATTGGGTAAGTCCTACGGAGTACATTTGAGTACTCACCCTGTTGGATTTTAAGTTTTGCATGTACCGTAGCTCCTATCCATGGATTCTTCTACGCTCCAGACCCCTCACCGGATCAGGAGTGGTGAATGATTTCGTGCCTCGTAGATACATAGATGTGGCACACCCGTGTATCAGTTATCATGAACTATGTTATATTGAAAGACTTCCGCTAGATTTAGATGTAGACTGTGTTGTGTGATCGTGTTATGAACTAGGTGTGTAAACCAAGACTTATAAACTTTAATGCTTTGAACTTGTGATGTAACTTAAGCATGGTTGTGATGTATTCTCTCTCTCAAACTGATCCTGGATGAGGTCGGCCTGAGTACATCTTATGGGGGATGTACCAGGATGACCTGTTAAGAGATGTGTCCAACTTAATGATTCCTTTTGGATTATCATTTTGGGTACTCACTTAAGAGGACGTTGATCCTGACAGAGATTCAGACAGAGGAAGAAGGAAGAGGGCGGTCCTCACCAGCGAGTCTCTTCTTGCGGTAGGGGTCGGCGGGCGGTGTCGCTCCTTGTCGACGAGGGCAGGCAGCAGCGGGTTCATGAGAAAAAGCATAGGTCGTCACGTCTCGTATGGGATCAGATAACACCTGCAGAGGAGCGGTAATAGGATTGTATGGGGAGATATGTAATAACGTTATTATCGGTTGCAAATCGGGCCAACCAAACACAAAAGCAACGTGATCCCGTTAACTTTGTAAACCAATTACAGGTTGAAAATGAGAAAGCGAACACGTTCATCAACATTAAGTTAGTTTGTTAAGGTCTATTAGATCCAGACATGCTCTAACCAATACCCACATTTGGTCATATGGTGTTGTATAATTATACTATCTTTCGAACGCCCAAAGCGTACTTCCCTTCGTCCCTTTTTATCTGCTGTTCTCACTTTTGGAAAAGTCAAACGGATTTAACTTTGACCTAATATATACAAGTAAATATTAATATTTATGGTACATAAAGTATCATTAGAGATCGTTGAATCTATTTTTATAATAAATTTATTTGGATTGCTAATATTTTTTATAAATCTAGTTAAACTTTAAAAAAAATCAGCATAAATACTATAGCGATGGATAAAGAGGGATAGACGAAGTAATGAAGAGGGATAGACGAAGTAATGAGGACTAACGTGATGCCTCATGACCAAGGAACCACCGCAAAGCACACAACGGAAAGCTACCAAGGGGTATGTATCAATGTCGGGTGCCTGTGCAAGGTCCCTTTCTTGAGTGGTGAAGAGCGAGTCCTGGGATTCAGGTTTTCTTCGCAGGATTGCAACCTTATCTCTTAGTTACGGTGTTGAAAGAGAAATCAAGGAAAACGGGTTGTTGAAATCTTCTTCGAGGAGTAGATACCTTTAATCCGAGCAAGTAAAAGTACAAGATGTATATCTCAAACAAACAACCACACATGAATGCTTTTTGTTTTTACAGAACCAACCACACATGAGTGATTTTTTTACAGAAACTATGTTTATTGTCAAGAACAGCACTAATGCGATTTTTAATCTAAATTTTGATCTAACTGCTTTCTTTAATTTGATGCCATGTTCCGGTGGCAAATAATCTACACCATTTAGGGTGAATGGAGCCGATAGCCCGATATCATACTCTTTTCTTTTGTTAATATATGTGGAAATTGAATTGCTTTCTATAAAAATGCTATAATTAATTCCTTAACTAAATGCTTTGCATCTTTAGCTTAATAGTACTATCATTTTAGTGGAGTTAACCTCGCTGTTACTTGTTCCCTGATTTTAGTCAACGTCATAAAAAAGGCTAATAGTTTATTAGAGGATGTCTCAAAATCTTTGGCAAACTCACTTTATAAATCCTCGTTTGGAGAGCTATTTAAATAAAAAATCACTTTTTATATATTTTCATCCTTCAATATTTCTCGATATGGCTAGCGAGAAATCATGAATAAAAAATATCAATATTTAGAGATCTAATTGAAAAAAACTGTTGGGTGAGACTTTTCTTTAACTAAAACCTTTATTTTTAGCAATTTTGAAAGTATATAAAGAGTCTCTTGGACTTGTTCTTAAACCACACAAGTACAAGGTGGTCTAAATTTACTACTATCATAATAGCTAATTAAACTTTAGACCATGTGATCCGAACAACGCCTAGGTATATAACAACTATACCAAGTAATAATCATTAAAAAAAGGCCACGTACTATTATTACTAGTACACAGGCTGTATTATCTATCATGCCTAGCTAATCATCACTATCAAGTATCAACACACTAAGCACACACACCAACTCCCAAAGGACAGAGAAAGAAAAAGCAAAAAAGAGAAAAGAAAGCCAAGCTACCACCACCCGAATCAAATACCAAATGCCACCTATACTGGCATTGGCACCATCCCCCTCCTCCCCCTACCCGTGACACTCATCACTGATCTGGCCCACCACACCACCTGCCTTCCCCGACGAGTCGGCAACGGCCATGCCCCCCGTCGCCGTCCAGCTCCACAGCCTCCTCTTCAAGCTGATCCTCCGCCGCCGCCTCTCCTCACTCTCCGCCTCCGCCTCCGCCCCAGCCTCGGCGCCGTTCGGCGTCTCCTCCCGCCCCGCCGACCAGCACCCCTCGCCGCCCTCCAACCCGTCCTTCTCCCCCGCCTCCCCCGACGGCGTCGCCACCAAGGACCTCCACCCGGACCCCCTCTCCTCCCTCCACCTCCGCCTCTTCCTCCCCAACCCCAACCACCACGCCACCGGCGGCACTGTTCCTCATCCTCTCCGCCGGAACTCATTCCCCCAACCCCAGCACCGCGACGCCGCCCCGGGCCAGGAGCTCCTCTCCCGCTCCCGCCGCGCCAGCGCCAGCTTCCACGGCGTCGGCGTCTCGCCCGCGCCGACCGCCCAGGCGGCGCCGCGAAACTACGGCGGGTACCTCCCGACCGCCGGCGCCACGCGGTCCGCCTCGAGGAGGAAGCTGCCAGTGATCGTGCAGTTCCACGGTGGCGCCTTCGTGACCGGCGCGGCGGACAGCGCTGCCAACGACGCCTTCTGCCGCCGCGTCGCGCGCCTCTGCGACGCCATCGTGGTGGCGGTCGGGTACCGCCTCGCGCCCGAGAGCAGGTACCCCGCGGCTTTCGAGGACGGGGTCGCCGTGCTGCGATGGATCGCCAAGCAGGCCAACCTTGCCGCGTGCGGGCGGACGATGATGGGCAAGGGGACCGGAGCTGATTCATTCGGTGCCGCGATGGTCGAACCGTGGCTCGCCGCGCACGCTGATCCGTCCAGGTGCGGTTTCGTCCTACATGGGTTTCTCATCTGTTACATTTTTTCCATGATTTTTGTCAGCTGTATAGAAATGCATTAATTGATTGTTGAGAATCGAGCATTCGCAGCTGTGTCAGGGGCTAAAATTTAGTCGTGTCACATCCGTTTGGTACATTGATTGATGCTTTTGGTAGCCTGGTTGGTGATGACGTTGACTATGTCCAATAAATGTGTGGATGCAACTACCTCCTTATGTAGGGAGTTGCATTTGATAGCCTTCAACGGGGTGTAATCAATTTCAGGAAATGCCTTGCTATGTTACACGGATACGTCCAGGAAGCCGCGTATCGCGTATCAGATACGTATCGGATACGGATACGTGTCCGATACGCCCAGGATACGTATCCTCGGAGTATCCGATTTTTTTTTATTTTCGTGAATTATGGATACGTGGGCTGATACGTATCAGCCTTGTGGATACGTCCCAGCCCAGTAAACAACCCTTCCTCTGCCCTCGACGCCCTAGAGAAGAACGAATCGACAGGGAGAGCAGAAAAAGGAAGAGGAAGTGAGGAACAAATCGACAGGGTCGCAGATGCCACACGCTCCGCTGCCCGCATCCGCGACATCCCCGTTCGGCGCTCTCGGCTCCGAGCTCCGAGCTCTCCGATTCGCCTCACAGGTACCGCCGCGCCGCTCTCGGCTCCGAGTTGCTTATCGCACTGCCGCCGATTCGCCTGGCCCAGCGAGCCGCTGCCGTCGGCCTCGACTGCCGATTTGCCGGAAGCCGCGCGCCGCTACCTCCACTCGCCTGGCACCGCGCGCCGCCGCCGCCGCCTGAAGCTGCTCGCGCCGCGCTCCGAGGCTGGCCTAGGGTTAGGACCTGAGAGCGGATTGGGGATTTGGGGCTGGCTGAAGTCACGAGTGGTGGCGTGGTGCCGCTGGGGGCTGACTGAAGTGAAGTCTGCTCTTTACGTGGACTTTGGTGGGCCGTCGCTGGGCTGGACCTGAGTGGATGCTGCTGTTTCTGTGGTCCACATTATTCTTATTTTTATTTTATTTTTTAAATAGTAAACGTATCCGCGTATCGGGTTTTTTGAGAAATTGCCGTATCCGCGTATCCGTATCCTTCCGATACCGATACACGTATCCGTATCCGTGCAACTTAGATGCCTTGTGTTTTGGTGGAGTAATGAGTGCGTGAATCTGCTTGTTCTGACGAATATGTTTCCTTCTGTTATGATACTTGAAGTTGATACAGCATTCTCTCAGCCAGCCTTGCCCATTTTGTCTGAATTAGCTGAACATGACTAACTCAACTGTATAATCTTCTATTCATGCTAGGTTCCAGGGTTTAGACAATTGACAGCTGTAACATGATTGCCTCATCTATGATTGAATTTAATGATACAAAAGTAATGATCATGACCGAATTAAATTATTCTTTACACTAGTAATGATTTATTTCCAGTTCAGAACCAGACAACCAGTTGGTCTTTGTAAACCTTTGGATTTTAAATTTTAAATTTTCTTCCAATGTGAAAACTTCGTTGTTCTAGATCTATGCAAGTGAAATCGCGGCCCCGTTCGCTTGGAGGAATTTGGAGGAATCTGTGGGAGGAAAACACTGTTCCGGATGAAAAAAGAAGCGGATCAAGCCGGGTTTAAGGGCACGCGAACGGGGCCGTTGTAGCTAATAACATAGTAGATCAATCACTCTGATGCACAAGTTCAAATGTTTTTCCCACATTAATGCCGCTGGGTCTCAGGATCATTGCAAACTGCAAATGCATTTAGGATAATGTGATTTTATCTTGACATTATAACCTAGTTGCTGTTCGTGCAAGATCGCCAATGTGAGTGTTAGCCAGAAGAAAATGGGTGCAATAAGGTTGGTGAGCCATCACGTTTCAAAATGATCCTGCTCTTCTAGAGATCAGGAGTGGGAGGAAGGGAATGGGCCCTTACTAGTTACCAGTGCACATGGGATTTGACATGAGAGGAAGGAGATATAGACATATAGGAGTTGCATTTATAAGAGGAAAGTAGTACGTTGGAGCTAGACAAAACAGAGGGAGAAGAAAGGGGATGTAGGACACGGAATATCACCATTGAGAAGCATGAGAAAGCTAGAATGCGAGGTGCACTGTGACATAAGATATATTTGACCCCTTTCTAAACTTGTGACTTCCTTCTGAACTGTGTTATGTATCTTCTGTGTCTACCATGTTGCATTCCTGATCTTTCTATGCTTGACTTTCTTTCTTTCACTCAGAAGCATCACTCCGTGGTGTAAAGTTTTTCTTTCTGATATCCAAAAATAATTGCATAAATGGTAGATCCAGGGAAAACAACTGATGTGCTACATTGTAGGACATGGTGGCAAAATATATACAGTGCAGGGGCAAGCACAAGGCTGTTGGACACATGTTATTTCTGTGTCATGGTTTTGTCTGCACTCTCCAGCTAGAACCATGCATAAATAGACTAGCAAACTTCGGTCAGTTGGTTAAATTATATACAGTTAACTCCTATGTATAATTTTTTGAAACAAATTCCTATATATAATCAGTTTTTATTTGATCGATCATCGATGGTACCCTTTGCTTTTGGGGACATAGGCATTGTTAGTTCAGTTTGTTCTCAGTTAATTCATCCAATTGTGCTGTTGATATCACAATTTTCTTAACGTTCCAGTTAAGCATGAATCTGATGATGCCAAACCACTATAGTCACTCCAAACCCACATGATATAGGCCATTACGTCAGCATGTTTTTATGATAAAATGCCATAAACGGTACTCTTGAAACAAATACCCTTTCCTGATAAAGAATTGAACTAGTTCATTATTGTTGCCAACCAAACTTGTTAGCATTGACGATTTAATCGCATTATTCTATTGTATGTTTTATTCTGCCCATGACTTTGACAAAGGTGTTCATGAAGGATAAACCATAACTTTGTCATAAGGGAAAATTTACTCACACAAGCTGAACACCAAATTTAATTTTCACCCAATTGGTTTACCAAAAGAAAAGCTTCCACAAATTATACTCTATATTTATTTGGCAACCAATTTAGTTGCACAAGACAAGTTATATGCATTAGATTCGGTTTTCTTTTTCTTTTCCCTCACTGCATAATGGATCCTTTGTTATCCAATGATCCACATGCATAGCTTGCCTGTTGCAGTTAGATATTGTTTTATACGTCCTCGCTAATAGATTCAGCTGTAATCAGGTGTCCTTGTGTGTCTTCTTCTTTTTCACTACTACTTCAGTAGCTGATGCTACTATGCTATTAGCGCTCATTTATCTCCTATTATGGTAGCAGGTGTGTTCTTCTTGGGGTTAGTTGTGGAGCTAATATTGCTGACTATGTGGCCCAAAAAGCTGTTGAGTCTGGGAAACTTCTGGACCCTGTGAGAGTTGTTGCACAAGTTCTGATGTATCCATTTTTCATGGGAAGTGCACCCACTCATTCAGAACTGAAGTTGGCGAACTCCTATTTCTATGACAAGTCATCATGCTTACTGGCCTGGAAACTCTTCTTGCCTGAAGGCGAATTCAGCTTGGACCATCCAGCTGTGAACCCTCTTGCACCTCGACGAAGCCCTCCGTTGAAGCTTATGCCTCCAACCCTAACAGTTGTTGCAGAGCTCGACTGGATGAAGGATCGCGCAATTGCGTACTCGGAGGAGCTCCGCAAGGTAAATGTGGACGCCCCTGTTCTTGAGTACAAGGATGCAGTCCATGAGTTTGCCACGTTAGACGTCCTGCTGAAGACGCCACAGGCTCAGGCTTGCGCTGAAGATATTGCAATCTGGGTTAAGAAGTACATATCACTGCGTGGCCATGAATTGTCTTATTGATCCACCTGAATGAAGTTTTAACCTGGGAGGCCAACATACATCCAGTTTTGCTTTGGTAATCGTTTTTATGGTGGAAGTAGAGTTCATCGGCTCAATGTAATATAGCATAGAGAGAATGACGCAGAGTTACTGATCAGTGTTGTTGGGTGAATGTTTCATGGAAATTCAAACTGCTCATGGTAATCGCGGTGTAGTCCACGGGCATTCTGAGATTCCACATTTTCACACGTCAAATGCCATTTGAAAATTTCATGTATCCAGTTCCCCAGTTTTGTGGTACACAGATCTTGTTGAATGCGCGGTGATGACCTTGATTGAGGCTTGAGGGTGAGCTTCAGATTTGATGTTTACTGCTGTGGCATCCGACACAATTTGAACTTGGCCCATGGTGGTCTTCTGTATATTAATGTGAGGTTGTAGATGTTTAGTTCCGCCTTGATTGATGATTGTTGAGGGTAGGCTAGACTAACATATAGGTTTCTAAGTCCATACCACTATCTACGGTTAACCTTTTCATGTGAGTGGGCTAGTGCTAGTGTGTGGTTTACTCAGGATGTAGAGTGGATATGAGCTGTTTAGACTTAGGTGTTACCGCTGCTTAGTGCAATAGTGCTCATGAAATGTTTTGGACAATGTTACGGTACTTCCTTTACTTACTAGGATGTAATACCTCAAATAAATTTGATTCGTTATTTTTTTTAGATTTTTGAATTAATTATTAATTAGAGCATCTTCGACACCTCACCAATATTTCATCCCCAATAAGATAGTATTGCTAGTCACTAGAATTTACTTTTTTCTTCTTTCCTTTCATTCCTCAGCGTGTTCTTTATCAGGACGTCTTCTCCCCGCAGCAAGAGGTGGCGGTAGCCATAGACGGGTCACACCCAACCGCGATCCCAACCCTGGCCACCACCGCGCTAGTCGCGGCTCCAGCCTCGGCCCCAGCCTCCTCGGCAGAGGCGGATCCGGGTTGGCAGGGTTGGAGCAGGGTGTAACACCCTAGTGTTAAGCATTGCGTTTGACACTTGCATTTTATGAGCACAAGCATCATCCAAGCATTCATGAGCATGAGCATATGGAATTTCATCTTATTCTTTACATATTATCACATGTGATGTTGATTATATACATGCATATGCTTGTGATCATGTGTGACCAATGCAAGAGATGGTTGTGGGGTCACAAAAACACCTTAGACATATCTAGGATGGTAAATGAAACAATGTTTGTATTCATGACATTGGCCAATTTTACTTCTAAGTCCTAGTTTACTCAAAATATCATTTTTCATAATGCTAGTTTGACCAAAGTTGAACATTAGCTTAGAGTGTTTGCATGGCAGTGCACCCTTAATAAAAGTTGTAGCTTATCTTATGGGTAACAAACTTTATTTAAGGGTCATGAGCTAATTCAGTGCCTAACATAGTCAAAAATAGCTCCAAAGTTGCAATCAAATGTTGTTTAGGGACTTAGAAATTTTGCTAAGTCTAAAGCTGGTTTTCTATTTCAAAGTAGCTTACTTTGGAGCATTGTAGTTTGAAAACCATGGCAAATTAGAGGAATCTTTCTAAAGCAAAGTTGAGAGTACATGTAGCTCTACATTTTCTATTAAGAGGTTTTCACCAACTCGAGCTCGTTTGGGAGTTACATGTCCATGAAGTTGCTCCGTCAGTCGACCACCGCCGGCCTAAAACCGAGCAGCAGCAGCGCAGCAGTGGCCGACCGGTGCCAGGCCACGCGCGCCGCTCACCGGCGTCAGCCCGACCAGTCAGGCCAGCAAGGGGAGAAAAGGGAGGCGAAGCCACTGCGCTCGCTCATTCTCACTCTCACTCTGCTCTCTCCCTCTCGCTAGCTCGCCGAGCGGAGCTGTGCTCACCGTCACCGCCACACACCTCTGCCGCACTCGCGCGCCACCACCACCACACCTCCATCCAATCCAACACATGCATAGCTTCATCGTGAGCCGCTCTACCTCCCTGACCCACCATTGCCACTATTCGAGCCCAAGTAACGCGACATTTCACGTCGCCGTCGCCGCCATGGCCACAGAGCGTCGCCGAGCTCCGAGCTCACCGTGGCCAGACTTATCCACCGCTCCTCCTACCTCTTTCTCCCTTAGTCCGTCATCGTCTTAGGTCCTAATAGCTCACGTCGTAGTCGGTTTAACCGCTACCGCCGCGGCGGCGTGGGAACATGCGATCGTACCACGTGCGCCCCCCATTGCCGCGAGCTCAAGCTCGCCGCGTCTGGCACCGACTAGACCCCGTCGTCCCCCTCTAGAGTGTGTTTCCACATGGCCTTGAACCCTAGCACCAACACCATAGATGGAGACCCGTCACCAACCACCGTCTCATCGGAACGGCAAGTGCCGCCGCGTGCGCTGTGCGTCGCCGTGCCGCCATGCACGTGGCCGGAGTTCACCACCGCTTCACCGTGGCTCAATCCGCACCGTAGAGCTCCGCTAGGGTTCGTAGAAGCCGTAGCCGTGCTTGCTTGGTCACATCTTCGTCGGAGACGGTGAGTCCGCCACCGCGCGCCGCCGCCATGCTCGACGGCGAGGTAGCTCTGGTGATCCACCGGGCTAACCAAGGGTATCAGTCGATGCACAAGATTGTGGGGAACACAATGCCGGTGACCTCGCCGCTGGTGACCTTGCCATCGACGAGTTTGCCGCCAGTCAAGCCGCGCCTCTGCTCTATGTGCTTGTCAAGTGGGGTCCGTTGACCACGGGCCCCTGCTGTCAGCTGCAGTGGGTGTATAGACCGGGTTTATGTAGCTACAGCTCCCGGGGTGAATTTGATTTTTCTTTATTTATTTTTCCAGATTTTCTAGCAAACTAGCAAAAATCATATCTGGAGTTAGGAGTGTCCAAATGGGTGATCCAAATTTTTCTGGATTCATCATGAAGTGTAGTATTTGATAAAAATATGTAACCTACTGTTTGGGATATTTTTCTAGGAGAATTAAATTAAGCTAGTGAAGTGCTTTTAAAATAGTTTCTATCTTGTAAAATAGATAACTTGAGCTAGAGAGGTGCTAAAATTGTAATTTCAATTTTATTAGTCGTGTGTTGACATGATCTAGCTAGCAAAAATACTAAACCTATAGTAGGCATACTTGGAATATAGTCTATCTATTTAACCTTGAATAATTGCTAGTTTCTAGTGAAAATAATTGGGGTAAAAATACATAACTTATGATCATGCAAATTTTACACAGTGTTCTTATGCTATGATGAAAGTAAGGAAATATGAAATCTATAGTTTGACACTTTTCACTAGGCTAAACTATTTTTGTTAAAATAAGCCTATGTAATTTGTCATTTTTATAGATGTTGCTATACTTAACCAAATGGCATTAAATTTGTACAGTTGACTATTGGGGACATATGTAAGTTACTGTAATTTTCTCAGAATTTATTGAGCATTAGAAATATTTATCCTTTAAATCACCTTATTATATAAGGATATTAATAAATGCACATAAGTAAATTATTTGGGCTCAACCATGATGTTTACTATGGTGCTTGTGATGCATGTGATTTGTAGAGATGAATAGTTGTGCTTAGAAGTAATTAATTTTATGTAGCTAGTTAATTATTGCTTTATAATTCAACTAAATGGCTGCATGAGTAGTTTCTGTTGTGTTGACAAATTCATGATGATAATGACCACTTCTGTGAAACTTGTTAATAACAAAGTTGTAGACAACTTGCTCATCTAGCTTGTCCTAAAATTTCATAGTCATAAGCCTAACTGTTTAAGAGTTATAGCTGTTAGAAGTCTGCTTTTAAATTTACTTGTCCTCTAGATAGATCTGGAAGATTGAATTGTTTGACCTAGATAGCTACTGAATCACCTTAAGATGATTAAAATAGAGTTGTAGGAAATTTCATAATCTTTCCAGAAAGTCAACAACCATATTGTTTGGATGTGTATAACTACAGTTATGGTTAAAACAAGTGGCTGCTGTCTTACAGCCTAGAAAATGTTTAAATAGGTGTTTGTTTAATTACTAGAGTGGTGATATGCACCCACTCAGTAAAAGAAAGTTAATTTTGTTATCACCTTAATAACTTGCTGCCATGGACATTTAGGAAATATGCATTTCATCATATCATATCATCCATGTCATTATCTATGCATCCTTGATATCTTATTTCAAGATCATGCATATAGGCTCGCCCGAAGGAGTAACCATACTAGAATTCGAAGAAGAGGCGGAGGACAATCAAGGGACACCCCAACCTGCAGCTCCCAAAGGAGAGGAGTCGGCCACTGACCAACTTCCAGAGTGCCATGATCACCGACCCACCTCTTTCCTGAAAGGCAAGCCCCGGAGTATTTTAAGCCTTCTATGTTTTATAAAATATCACTTGAGTCGTTTATGTTTGATGAATTAGGTTATAAGAGTTGATTTGGAAACACTTGATGCATAGAACTATCTTGTCTAGATATATACTTTAAACCCTTTGTAGGTCCAGGATCGAGTGATTTTCTTGTCACCTGTGAGATATAGGTGGATACCGGAGCACGGTTGGCTATATTTGCTATCATGGGAAAGAACTATGGGATAATGTAATTAGAGGCTGGGCAGAGTCTATGTGTTGGTTGACTCATGTGATTCCGTCTGTACCGATTAAGGACCGTATTGTTGGAGGCCCTCTTGTCATTTTGAACGCATGCCTCTCACTTAGCTAGCCGGATAACTCATCCTGACCGTGAAGCCGGGTAGCTCAACTCAGGCCGGGCCTTGTTCTATGAAAGTGCGCACTCTGGATGGTAGTAAGGATGTGCGGGGAGCTAGACCTGAGCCCAAGGGTAGGGTAGTCCAGATCATCTTGGCAGCTGGTTGTCCCTGGTTGTGTGGCACTGGTCGAACCCGTGAAATGTGGACCTGAGTTGTACCAAAGGTGACCTAAGGCTACCGTGGCTGGTAGACCTGGGTTTGTGTTAGGAATAACTGCCCAGCTGGTTGCAATCGATTCGAATCGCCGT